GGGATGGCCACGCTGCAGTCCCTTCTCCTCCAATCTCCTTTTGGGATCCTGGGCGTGCATGCACACGTGCCCAGCTTGAGTTTAAGCCACCAAGTCCGGGACCCGAACTTTGTTCAACTACATGGAAGTCCAGTGACATAGCCATTACACCAAGTGCTGGTTCCAGGTTTAGGCCTGCTGTACATTGTTTGAAATCTCACTGTAGCCCATCAGCTTCGACCTAGTTAAACTTCCCTTCTTTGTGTAGTTGGTTACAATATGGCCCAACTGCTCCTTATCCCACTGACCCAAAACCTAACAAACCCCACATGTTCTGACCACAATAAAATAAAAGGTCATCACCAGAGTGATGTAAATAAGTTCCTCATTCACAAGTGTTTTCTTTAATCTAGCTAATGCACAGCACTCATGACAAAACCTAAGGGATAATGCACATAAGCCCTACCTAACAATGACATAATCCTACAGCCTTTCTCTCTCTCTCACTAGTTCGTTTATGTGCATTCTCTCTCTCTCTCTCTCTCTCTCTCTTATTCCCTCCACTTGTTCAACTTGTGCTTCCTTGCTGCTTTCAGACTTCATATTGGCTTTCTGATGTCATCACTAACTTCTCTGGACCCATGAGTAATACCTTTCTTTTATCTATCTAATGTATTTTGGTTTTGTTTCCTCATTGTGTCTCATTTAACACAATCCTGAACTTAAATTTTCCTCCATGTCTGGGCTCTCCTACCTAGAGTTGCTATCTTGGTTTCTGGTCACTCTCAAGAGAGACACGTTTAGGCCAAATCAGAAAGAAACCATAACAATAAAAATCACAAGATAGGGTTAATATAGTGCTTACTTTCTTAGAGTTATCATGGAAACTAACTGATCTAGTCTATATATAGAAATCAATGGTGTGTATGGCTAACAGAAAGCAATCTATAAATATTTTTTGAGAGGTTTTTGCTATATGGTGTGTGCATTTGCCAGAAAGACAGAGAGAGACAGAGAGCCACAAGTGAGAAATCACCCCCTAGGTGGGATGGTCACGCCACAATCCCTTCTCCTCCATTCCCCTCTCGGGATCTTGGGCACACACGTACATGTGCCCAGTGTGAGTTTGAGCCACCAGGTCCGGACTTGAACCACGGTCGGCTACATGGGAGTCCAGTGACATAGCACTAGTTCGTTCATGTGCATTCTCTCTCTCTCTCTCTCTCTCTCTCTTATTCCCTCCACTTGTTCAACTTGTGCTTCCTTGCTGCTTTCAGACTTCATATTGGCTTTCTGATGTCATCACTAACTTCTCTGGACCCATGAGTAATACCTTTCTTTTATCTATCTAATGTATTTTGGTTTTGTTTCCTCATTGTGTCTCATTTAACACAATCCTGAACTTAAATTTTCCTCCATGTCTGGGCTCTCCTACCTAGAGTTGCTATCTTGGTTTCTGGTCACTCTCAAGAGAGACACGTTTAGGCCAAATCAGAAAGAAACCATAACAATAAAAATCACAAGATAGGGTTAATATAGTGCTTACTTTCTTAGAGTTATCATGGAAACTAACTGATCTAGTCTATATATAGAAATCAATGGTGTGTATGGCTAACAGAAAGCAATCTATAAATATTTTTTGAGAGGTTTTTGCTATATGGTGTGTGCATTTGCCAGAAAGACAGAGAGAGACAGAGAGCCACAAGTGAGAAATCACCCCCTAGGTGGGATGGTCACGCCACAATCCCTTCTCCTCCATTCCCCTCTCGGGATCTTGGGCACACACGTACATGTGCCCAGTGTGAGTTTGAGCCACCAGGTCCGGACTTGAACCACGGTCGGCTACATGGGAGTCCAGTGACATAGCCATTATGCCGACTGCTGGTTCTAGCAATCTATAAATATTAGTTATTCCTATGGTTAATATGAGTAACAATTATGCATGTATCATACCTTTAGCATGATCTCTTCAAGTCTAAATTTTATTGTTTTGTACATTTGTCTCAGATTCCCAATTATAAAATTTCCTTATATGAGATTATCCCAAACAGATATGTGGTTTAAGATAAAAATAATTTTTTTCTAAACTATTATTATTGCAATAAGAAGGGTTATAAATACCAGTTAGACATTTTGAATAAGTTACTCTGAGATAATTTATGGCAAATCAGAAAAATTATATTCCAATCAAAGATGGTATGGTTATGAATTAACCATAAATTCAAATTAAGGACAGATAATGTATATCATCTTTATTAGCAGTCACATATTCCATTAGGTGTCACCTTTATTATTGCATATTTAGAATTTGTAAAAGGCTGATGCCTCAACATTGCAGAAATACTCTATAATTTTTGAAGATTTGACATTTAGCTTAAATCTGAACTTACTATTATAAATATGCACTGAAAACAATTTTATAAGTATGGCATGCTTTAAAGCATTGATATGAAACTGGAGATGATTTTATTATTATTTCACTTGCTCAGTTATTAAGATGCATTTTGAAATTTATTTCAAGTAGCAATTTTTCAGACAAGAATTTATTTGCCCAATTATTTATATACTCAGGACTACTAAAACTGTCCCATTTTAAAAAATTTACAGTAAAATGTTTGATTTTGCATCACTGAAAATACTTGCTGATGGATGTATTTGTTTTGATATCAATGGATCATAATTATGCAATTCTTTTTTACCATATGTATGAGTAAAAACAAGTTTTCATTTTAGAAGACATGAAAATGAATATGATGCTGTTATTTCCAAATATTTCAGAGTATAAAATTCATAAAACTAATAAATTATACTGTGATATTGACAAGGCATGAGAATATATGCATCACACACATTTTTGCAAGTCAAATTTTTTACATAATAAACACTTCCTTTTAAGAATACTTAAAAACTCAGGCATCAATCAACTCATGATAGTTATAAAGAAAATGAAGAGATGAAACATGAGATTGAAATAGGTAAAAACCTATGAGAATATGGCAAGAAGAATTTATTAAATTGAACTCATTTCAACTACTTGAATAATAGCTACTTATTAAATAGCTATTATGTATTTTACACACTGTAAAACATGGAGATGCTTTACACAATGAAGGAATGTGAGTAAAGGAGGTGGAGAAAAACAAGGAAGATGAGAAGAAAGAAGAGGAGAAAAAAATTACAATCACAACTCTCTTCTTCAACGCATGGGAGACCTTGGAGAATGTATATTATGTTCCAGTTAGGGAAATACTGCAGTTAAAAACCACGAATTAAGCATACTTTGCAGGTTTATCTTTCAATTATAAAATTAGAGAGAAGTACTTTAATTTATCCAAACGTCAATCCACTTAAAGCATTAACACCCAGTTGAACTTCTCCAGTAGACTTTGTAGCTGTTTTGACAGCTCTCCATGTCCCATGGCAGGCTGTTGCCTTTACTCTTTAGCTTCCATGGATTGCTTAGGAAGTAAATATGCACCAACACCCTTCATCCACTCGTTCTCTCCTATTGGAGGTTGCCCATTACATGAAAAGCCCCTTCAAGAAAGATGAATACCTCAAAAGAAAATGCTTTTAAAAGGCAAGCACCAACAATGCTCACAGAAGCTTGAAATTTCCTGGAAGCAATTCTGACCATGGCTAAAGAAAATACTTTGGGCACTGTGACTTTAATGGCACCATAAAAATAACAAGGCATTAAACAAGCCTCAGTTTAATAGTCTGGAAGAGGGAGAGTAGGGGAAAATATTCAAATTACCCAAATCCAACTAATGGCTCAATTGATGTAAACCTATTACTCGAAGTTATTTAATAACCCTGAGGTTTCTTCTACATTCTAAAAAAAAAAAAAAAAAAAAAAAAAAAAAAAAAAAAAAAAAAAAAAAAAAAAAAAAAAAAAAAAAAAAAAAAAAAAAAAAAAAAAAAAAAGTGTGTGAAATAAGATGAATGACTCTACTGTTCCCAGATTTCCCTAGAAAGTGCTGGTGTAGTCATTGCAATTAGGGGTGAGAAAATTAGCAGGTGAGGAGGGGATAGGGCTTGAGTACAGGAACAGACAGAGTTCTCACCACAAACATAAATAAATTCCTTGTAATTTCCAGCTAAGGTGTTTAACATGGTAGGTGTAGGCACAAGGCCTGGAAAATTTCCAGGGGGAAGAATCACGGATCCTATCATTTGGAGCAGGAGGAAAAATCTTTAGAAGTCATTTGGTCCAGCCTCTCACGTTTTTAAAATCTTTTTAAGATAGGGTCTTAACTGTGTTGAAATCCTCCTGTCTCATTCTTCCAGCCAGAACTACAAGTAAACTGTGTTTTTTTTGTTTTGCTTTATGAGACAGGATTGTCTCAATATATACCCCAAGCTAGCCTTGAACTGGTAATTATCCTCCCTGTAAGTGCAGCCTCCCTGAGTCACTGGGATTAGCCTTCATGTTGGACTGGAAATTGAACGTGGGCCTCCCATGTGTTCCCAGCCTGCAGAGCAAAGTCTTAGAAATGCCTTGCCATAGCTAGGCCAGCCTCTCACTTTTTTTTTCTCCTCTAATTTTGCCAAAGGTTGTATTCACTAACTGGAGATAGAGGAAAAAGAGAGAAAGAAAGTGAGAAACCACCCTCCCTTTCACCCCTCTATGGGGAATATTCATACCATAATTGCTTTTTTTCCATCTCTCTCAACTATAAAGATTTTGGGAAAGTGCCACTAGGTCTGGGTAACTGGCCATGTGGGATCCCATTTCCTTAACCATCAGGCTATGTACTGGCCCATCTTCACTTTAGATGTAAGAGACTGAGACCCAAGACTTGCCCCAGACAACCCAATTACCTCTTGGGACAGAGTGGTCTACAACCTAGATTTCCTAAACCTTTTTAGTTTTTAGAAACTGTGCTATAAGCTGGAATGATTGGTGTTTGGAAATCACATCTGTAACAGTCCTAAAGATATAAAACAAAATAGAAACAAAAGTGACACCTCCACTTCTTCAATCCTTGGTTCCAAAGAAAACAAATAGCTTTACTCACCTACAGGGAAATACTCGCTCATTTTCTTTTTGTAGATTTTGAAGTCAACTTCTAAAAAGACACAGAAGATGATCCGATCCACCTAGAGGCAAACAATAAACACTCACAGTGAAAGGAAATATGACAGTTGCTTTCCCAGAACATGGGGCCTTAGAACAAAACAGATGGAAAAGCCTCATATGGATTTCTCATGTTATAGTGCTAAACTACAAAGCAGCATTGAGTGAAGTTCAAGGGTATGAGTGTGTGTGTGTGTGTGTGTGTGTGTGTGTGTGTGTGTGTGTGTGTGTGTGTGTGTGTGTGTGTGTGTGTGTGTGTGTGTGTGTGTGTGTGTGTGTGTGTGTGTTCTTTGTAATATAAATAAACCCTTGGCCTCTTTGGTAGAAAGATGTTACATAAATCAAAAAAGAAATAATAAATGACAATAAGCCACTTTGCAGCAAGCTATAAATAAGAACTGAGATTCCAACAGGATACCTAGACTTCATGTTCTATAAAATAGCCAAACGAGAGGTCTACAGAAGAATGACAGTAAAGTATGTCAGTAAACAAAGAGCTTGTCCTACCCTTGTTAGACAAATATATTTATCAAATGTGTTTGTATGTGAACATGGCCTGCAAAGGTTCCATACAACTTAATTTGCATAAAGTCACTTGCTTTGAGCTTAACACACTTAGAAATACAACTGAAATAAAATATAATGAGTTGGCAGTGACTTGAGGTCAGTTTAACATTTAATTTGGTAGAATAAGCTGAATAAAGTAAATGCCATCTCAAACTAAAATATGTGCAGTCACTTTTTTGTTTTTAGAGAGATTTTTACATTTAAGAAACTTCTTTGAAACACAGAGAATACTGCAGTAAACAGAGAAGAGCGAGGGAATATACATAACAGCTTACATATATCTGATATTAAATCAGTGACTCAATTTTGTGGTTGGAAATAAACTCCTCTAGTTCTTTTATCTCAACGATGTAAAAAAATAATAATAAAAAAGGTAACAATCACTCAGTCTAACAAATGGCAACTGGAAAACTGAATAGAATATTAAGGGAGGCATTTCTCATGGTGAGACAGGAATGAGACCCCGCGAGCAGGTAAATAGGGCAGGGACTCCCAAGGAAGAGTCACTGTGATAGTGCCTCTTAATACATGACTCTTAATACATGACACACGCATGTATTAAGATAGAGTTAACTTATAAAATGGAGTCACTCGGGTCAAGCTTTTGAGAAGCATTGTTCACTGCTCTCACTACAGGTCAGGTATTGGCTCTTGCTGATCGCTCACACAGGCAGCTGCTTATAAACAGAGTTTTTTACAGTTTGCTTGATCAATCACAACCTATCAGGAAATGCAACCAGACCCTCTTCAAAAATTCCTTCCTCCTGCCTGGTTCTTGGCACAAGGAAGGTTGTTATCTTCCTTTCTGCTACCCCAGATACACACAGAGAAATTTACCACTTGGATGGTACACTAAGTCAACATCTTGATTCCCACTGGGGAAAAAAATCTAATTGGGCAGTGAATCCAGATAGGGATGCTCATCCCTTCAAAGACCACCCTGGGCGTGCATGATTAGATAATTAAACTCCTCACCTGGGAGAGATGAGCGAGTGCAGGAAAAAGCCACAAAACCAAACACAGAGGCTAGGTACTATGACAGATCTTCCCCTGCTAAATATTCATTGCCAACCCTCAGGATAAAAGCAACACCCAACCTCATGCTCAATGCAGTTGTCCTCCGGCAGCTGCCTACCCATGTGCCTTTCAGGCATGGGGGAGGACAGATTTACTTTAGAAAGCTTTACTTTAGGGAGAGAGACCAGCAGATAGTGTAATGGTTACATCATGTGACTCCCACCTAGTTAACCACATTTGAGTCCAAGACCTGGTGGTTTAAAACTCATGCCAGGTGCATGTGTGTGTGTGCTCAAAATCCCGAGAGGAGAATGAAGGAGAAGGGACTGCCACATGACCATACCCTCTAGGGGGTGATTTCTCACTTTTTGTCTCTCTGTTTCTCCAGCAAGCACATGCACCCTATAGCAAAAATCTCTCAAAAAGAAAAAAGAAAAAGAAATCTTTACTTTTTTTATTAAAACTTCTTTTTTCTGGGGCTGGCAAGTGGCATGGTGGTTAAGGATGCTGGACTTCCACATGGCCAACTGTGGTTCAAGTCCTGGACCTAGCGGCCTGCTTTCTCTCTTCCACTCTCTCTATCACTCTGTCCCTCTCTGGTAAAATTAAAAAATAAATAAATAAACAAAGTTATTAAAAATATTTTCTTTTCTTACTTTATTAATATTTGTAATTTTTCATTTTGTGTCTCAGGGCAGGTCTCTAATCTTTGAGATCTGGACTTAAAGCACTAAGGGTTTCACACAACCCAGTTCACTCCCCCATCTGACAGCAGAACTCTCTCTAGGCAACTCATTCTCTGCAAGTGCTTTTTGAGCAGCACTAAGCTTGTCAATGAGCTGACATTTCTTCTCAATATGATAGCCAGTCTTTCTGCAAGCTGATTCTCCCCTCTCACATAAAGTCAGCTTCTCTGAGAATGAACAAGCCTAAAAAAGCCCAAGAAGCCCAAATAAATCCCCTCTGACACAGATAAGAACCTCTTGCCTCAGCTTTTCATTGGGAACCCATTTTCTGGGATCCATTCTCTGCCTGGGAGTTCTTATCATGCCTCCCTCTCTTAATAAACTCTCTATTGTACCACTCCTTCTCTATGTCCACGTCTAATTCTTGGTTTTGGCACCAAAAGGAATATGGACTTTAACTCTATTTTCCACAAACTTTTTTTTAAAGATATTTTTGCTATAGGGCCCATGCACTCATCAGAGACACAGAGAGAAACAGAGAGACAGAAAACAAGAAATCACCCCCCAGGGGGGATAGCCATGCCACAATCCCTCCTCTTCCATTCTCCTCTTGGGATTTTTGGCATGCACACATATGCACTTTGCATGAGTTTTAAGCTCTTTCGTTTGGGACTAGAACTATGGTTGTCTATGTTGAAGTCCAGCAATATAACCATTAGACCATCTATTGATCCTGTCTACAAACTTTTTAAGTACTCTCATAGATGTCATCCACTTAACCACTCAGATATCTCATCGTGTGGGATACAAATGCCACTAACCAAGCATGACAGTTCCCAGCAGAAGAGGCGATCTACTGAGGGGAGAGATATGAGGTTCACAAGAAATCACCAGGGTCCTTGATATAAGCCCAGTGGTTTGACTACTCCCCAATCAGGTCTAGATCTCATCTAGAGGAGGCTTTCCAGGAGGCAGTCACTGGAGTGCTGTGCTGGAACCTTAAAAGACCATACAGCCCCTGTGGCTGACTTCACAGGATGGATTATCATAGAAAGCACCTGGTCTTCTGAAATGGAAAGACTGGGATGTCAATGACCATATTTTCTTCTCCCTGTTTTTCATTGGATATCCTGATGGCATATCGCTAACATTTTCTACAAACAAACAAACAAACAAAAACCCCCCAAAAAACAAAAAACAAAACCCATTACCGTCAACTTATACTCTAGATGAACTATAAATTTGGTTAAATATATGATTAATTCTGCAGTAGTGAATGTTCACCTTTGCTGTCTTTATGGTATGTTTAAGCTCTGTAGCTAAAGCTGATATCACGTGGAGTGATGAATGAGTTACATAAAAGGAATTATACAGTATGATACCATTTACATGAAGTTTTAAGACTCAAAGACACAACAGTATAGGAATCCATTCATAAGTACAGGAATGCAAAAAAGAATATAACACATAGCTTTAGGATAATGATTTCTTGAAGACAGAAGAGAAGAAGGGAAAGTGGGGATTTAACTGAATAATGTTAAATACAATTTATTGGATTGAGATCCTGCACTAAGCCCAACAGATCAAACCAAACTGAAGTTCCATATCAACAAGTTAAAACTAAGTTGTTTATCTTATCTTCCAAGAAATCAGGAGACAGAGAGAGAGATAAGGGCCAGATACCCAAATAGGCTAGTTTTAATCAGCAGCTTAAGAAAGTCTTCACTACATTAATCCTTTCAAGGAAAGTAGCTTTAAAATGACCACTCCAGTTTTCTTTTTGTCTCTGCTTTTCTTAACCATCTTTTGTTTATAAATCCAATTTCTCTACCAAGTTCATCATAACACTTATTTATTTTTTTTAAATTTGCCAGAGGTTGTGTGTATACTTGACAGAAAGAGACAGAGAGGGAAAGTGAGAAAGCATCCCCTGTGGAGTACAGTAATGTTGCAATCCCTTCTCCTCCATTTCTTCCTCCTTTTGGGAATTTGGGCATGCATGCACATGTACCCCACATGTTTTTCAAGTCACAGGGTCCAGGACTTAAACCATGTAGTCTCCTACGTGGTATCCAGCCACCAGGCCATGGGTGGACCCTATTTTGTTCTATAGAATGAGGTGTTGTATGATTCTAGAATAGAAAATAAAAGTCAACTAGATCTTTTAACTAAATATGATGTAATGTTATATTTGACAATAGTTAATATTTTATTTTATTTTTTTTTAAGAAGAAAAGACATTTGAGAAGAATAAAGCAATGGCTAATGGCTATTTACTATGGTATAGGTACATGGATATTGTATTATTTTCTATACCTTTCTATATTTTAAAATTACTTCATGATTGGGACCAGCAGATGGTGTAATAGTTATATCACTGAACTCCAACGTAGTCAACCACAGTTTGAGAGTCCCAGACCTGGTGGTTTAAAATTCACACCAGGTGCATGTGGGTGGGTGCCCAAGATCCCAAGAGGAGAACAGAGAAGAAGGGACTGTGGTGTGACAATCCCCCCTGCGGGATGATTTCTCACTTTCTGTCTCTTTGTCTCTCTGGCAAGCATACATGCCCTATATAAAAAAAAAAAATCATTAAAAAATTAAAAGAAATACTTCGGTATATTACCTTAGATACTACTTCCCTTAGATTACTTTCTCACCACATTGAACTACTTAAGGTTCCTAAAGACCGTAATTGCTATCACCTCTGTACATATGATCATGGACTTTTTTCTCTAGCCTTCAAAAA